CTTCTCAACACATGCCTCAGAATGTTGTTGGTGAGAGCGTCCTGCACAGTATCCGGATCATTCTTGCTTCCTGCTTGGCATTAAAGTCCATTCCGGCGGATCTGGTGGTCCCAAGGCAATCCCATGGTGCTACATAAAAATGGAGGGATCAATCAGCCATCTGATTGGTCCAATTATTCAGCATCACACCCCCCATTGAAGCAGGGGCCTTTGGTTTTTCGACAACACCGCCAAGTCCCCAATGGCCCTAAAATACCCAGGCAGATGAACTACTCCGCTCGAACCCGCCCAGGTATAGCTGCTCTCCAGGGGGTGAGGTGCATTATTCATAAAAGGAAAGAGGATACTGACGTGATGAGGTGGGCAGAGAATTTTCTTCCAAAGGGTGGGGTACCTGTGCTGCCAGAAATGTAAAGAGTCAGCTATGGGTGATATCAATCCCACCCCCCATTGGAGCAGGGGCCTTTGGTTTTTTGACAACTCCGCCAAGTCCCCAATGGCCCTGAAATACCCAGGCAGATGAACTACTCCGCTCAAACCCGCCCAGGTATAGCTGCTCTCTGGGGGGTGGGGTGCATTGTTGGATGGAATGTACTGACGTGATGAGAAGACTAAAAATCGATTCAATTTTAATTCCTATGGTCACAAGTGTAGTTGGTGGATCTGTAATTACTGGGGGGCCTGAGCTGCCATAGTTAATAATAGTCAGCAACTCACAACTATTGTGCTACTATGTATGAATCTGCCCAGGGGGTTCCACTCAGGTACACAACCCCCTTGACAGCCATTTGGCTTTCAAGATGGCTTGTGTATGTTGGCTGTCAAGATGGCTTGTGTATGTATGTAAAAAGTCTACATGTAGGTGGTACTCACTAAACAAGTATCACTCAGGGGTTTGAAGATGTTTGGCATGGGGTTTGAATAATTTTATTGCATTGAAAATGAAAGAATGAAAGGGCTGTGGCTGATCAAGGGGGAGGAGGGGTCTGTGCAGGTGATGGTGGGGGGCCTTGTCGTGTGTTGGTTGTCGGCTGAGGAAAAGGATGAGGGGGAGTCGTCAGCATCTGGCTCGCCTGAATATGAACCAGGGCAAGCCAAGTGGGCAGATGGGTGAGGTGGTGTCAGCCTCTGGGTAACTAACCTGAGTATTTAATAGTAAAAAGGTTGTTACTATGAGTTGACCGAATTTTTTGAGTGTGGTGAGTGTTAGGTAGTGGGTGATTAATACCAGTCCTGTAAAGAGGAGGTTTCACTCTATCAGTATGGTCTTTACTGAGA